TATACACTGAAGGGGAATCGAACCCCTGCCGCTTGCTCACATTAGGGATGGAAGGCAAGCATGATAACCACTTCACCATCAGTGTTGTATTCCATATTCGATACTGGATATACAGTATGTTCCCGTGCACCAGTCAAGGCATCACCATGTTTTAGCAACGAGTAAATTCAACGAATGTCATGATCATTTCGTGAAATTCATTAAAGCCCATATTGAAACACGATAATCTTTCCCTCCTATTGCCAACCATCGGGTACGCTCTTCCTCTTCGCGCTCGTCCATTTCTTCGCTTACGTCGCTATCTTGAGCTTCGTCACCCAAACTATCCATTTCAGCTGATTTAAGAGAGTGAGCAAACTCCACAGCTTGACAGCCTGTTTTATGGTATCTCAATGTCCCGAGTGGCTTCATTGTCCGTGTCGAGTAAAGGCGAACACTAGGCGTATAAGCATCAATCGTGCCATCGCTAACAGAGTATGGTCAACTTCCGTACCTCCCATCCCAACCGGCGACGGCACAGACGCGTTCGTTATCATGAATTGCAATCGCAGCATTCCCTGGATGCTTAGTTCGGTACGTGACGTATGCGGTATTTGCGTTATTACTCTGTTCAGAGGGGAGGTCAGAGTTGAAATATGAAGCCATGTAAGCTATTAAGACATACAGTTAGATCATATCGTCCGACTAGATGATCAGACGAAACTGTCAACGCGAAATTGTTGTTTATGGACACACGCATGGCCATGACTTTCGAAATACTGAGTGATACCGCAGAAGTTGAGACAGATGATCTGACACACTAGTCTCTGCATGCACCTTCACGTCCCAGATAATTTCCCAACCAGCACCTTCGACAGACGTTGGTTTGTCGGTTCTGGTGTACCTTCGTAGTGTCACAGAACCACTCTCGTAAGCGCAGAGCAGCTTTAGAGCGCAGCCAGATGCGGACGATGACGGTTCATCATGAGAAGCCTTGAAGACATGAAGAGACATGATGATTCCTGTCAGTACTTAGCGCTCATACCGACGCTGATCTCAAGCTACATTACCTGTTTTAGATCTTTCCCTTGGGCCGGAATTGAACAATGATACTCTTCCTATCTGACCAACTGCTGCATGAATGCGCTCACATGACGGTAGGGTCCAGATGTCTGCCTAATGTAGGATGAGAGGTGATTGACATGCTGAATGATACTGTCGGACTCACAGAGGCAGAGTCCACCAAGTTCGGCAGCGCGACCAGTGCTTGCGCCTCATCACTAGTATCAGGCAAGAGCGAGAAGCGGCAATAATTAAGAGCATTGACGTCCATAGAGTAACAGAGTCTTGGGATCGTTTGTTCTTCGGCGAACTGCGCGACAGACCCAACTCGCGCGGATACTGGCAGTTCTTCAGCTCGCATCCAGACGTGCAGTTTATTATCTCTCGCGTGACTTGGGGCGAGAATGACAATAAGTTATGAGATGATTCTATGAAACCTAAAGGCCTAAATGCGTACGTGATGATACGATCACCCCATTCTTCGATTCCTAATAGAGAATCAGTGTGTGCATTCCACTTCACTATCGGGCGTAATGAACGAGTTGAAGTGACAACGACAAGTCCAGAAGCATCTCCAGAGTAGATCCGTTCATTGTCAAAAGAGACAAATACAGTGCTCACGGAAGAAGAGTGAGTTCTGAGTACGTGAGTCGGAGCAGGTGGTGGTGCAAGTCCAGTCATGCGAATCTAATCTAATCAAATTTCCCCAGTCGCATGCGCAGACATGACAACCAGAGATACGCGACTTGGCACTTTGCCACTCACAATATGTACTAGTAAACTTAGCGTGGCATCGTCACAAAGATGTATAAACACCTCAACCGTGGTTCAAATGGTCATTCTGTTTCTACGAGACTAGACAAGATATCAACGAAGAAGTCTCGCGTTGATCCGTGTAGATCTGTCTTATCTACAGCGCTATCGCACAGAGTTCTCCTTGGACTCCTCCGACTCCTGGACATCGTTCGGATACTCTCGCGTGGCGGGCCGCTCGGCAATGGCAAAATACGTTG